GTAGGGCTGGTTTAGTGGTGATGAATTCCTTCAGTTTTCATTTGGGAAGACCTTTATTGTTGAGTATGTTTTCATGTGTCTGTTAGCCATCTGGATGTCTTCTTTGGAAAAGTGTCTATTCATGTCTTTTGCCCATTTCTTCACTGGAATATTTGTTTTTTGGGGTGTTGAATTTGATAAGTTCTTTATACATATTTGATACTAACCCTTTATTCAATATGTTATTTGCAAATATCTTCTCCCATTCTGTTGGTTGCCTTTTCGTTTTGTTGATTGTTTCCTTCGCTGTGCAGAAGAAGCTTTTTATCTTGATGAGGTCCCAGTAGTTCATATTTGCTTTTGTTTCCCATACCTCCGGAGTCACATCTAGTAAGAAGTTACTGCAGCAAGGTCAAAGAAGTTTTGCCTGTTTTCTCCTGTAGGATTTTGATGGTTTCCTGTCTCACATTTAGGTCTTTCATCCATTTTGAGTTTATTTTTGTGTATGGTATAAGAAACTGTCCAGTTTCATTCTTCTGCATGTTGCTGTCCAGTTATTCCAGCACCATTTATTGAAGAGACTGTTTTTTTCCCATTAGATACTCTTTCCTGCTTTGTCAAAGATTAGTTGAACATACATCTGTGGGTCCACTTCTGGCTTCTCTATTTTGTTCCATTTATTTATATGAAGTAAGAAGATCTTATTAGGATGTTGAATCCTACTCCCTTTCTTTCTTACTTTCTCTCTTACTTGTCTTAAAACTGTGACAGGTTCTGATTTTCTTTTTCATGTGCCAGCTAGCTGAGGCCATCCTTATTTCTCTGTCTTCAGGGAAATATAATCATGTGGAAGGGGATGTTGTCTTCCATTTAGGCTTTGAAAAAAAAATCAACCTTGAAGTGGAACGGAGTACAAGTTTTTAGAAGCTGCATCATTCTGTATCTAGCCAAAGAGTTGGGCCTGACAGAAGCTGGGTCCAGCAGGACAGTTTCCATTCCAGATGTCACATGGAGATGTGCCTGGCTGAACTAATAGTTACATGGATGCGAGTTTGAACAACTCGCCAGAGGTTTTCTAAAGTCAAATCATATTTTTAAGTTACTTTGGTGGATGAAACATTAGTTAGTGCCTGTTTAATTCCCACAGAAACCGTTTTTCTTTTACTAAAGAAGCCAAATTTTGTTTTTTGAAATCAAAACACTATTAAAGAAAAAAAGACTGCAAGAAAGGAAACATATAGAATAGTAATTGTAGATAGCAATTGCTCTTTTGGATACAAAACCAGTTTTTAAAAATGTATTTATACTTTCTTCCAACTAGTCTTTTGAAAATAACTGAGTACTAGATATTATCAGTAAGAAGACCCTATCCTCCAGCACAGCCTAGTGGAAGGTGAGAAGATTCTCATCCAGGTTCAAGGCCCAGTTCTGTTTCTGGTTAGTGTGTAACAGCATACTAGGATTTCTGGGACATGGTGTTTTTCTCTGTCAAATTAAAGAATTTGCTGATTTTTGAGAGCTTTTCCAAGTTAAAATTGACATCCCTTTTGAAAAGCAGCGTCCTGAATCATACATGAAGGTTGTGCTCCCTCTGGAGGAGCAATGAGAACATAACAATGTTCAAGAACTACAATTTACTCATGCTTTAAAAAAATACAGCTATGAAGTTACTACAATATTATTGAGACCTACAGTGTACTTTTCATTCCTGTGACTTACTTATTATTATTTATTTTATTTGTACCTCTTAATCCCCTTCACCTATTTTACCTATCTGAAACTAATATGTCAACTATACTTCAACTAAACAAATAGTAATAATTAAAAGATGTAGCTACATTGGCCATTGTTGTAAGACTAAAGATACTCTTTTTTTCTTTTTAAGTTTGTAATGTTATTTATGTTTGAAAGAGAGAGACAGAGTATGAGCTGGGGAGGGGCAGAGAGAGAGGGAGACACAGAATCTGAAGCAGGCTCCAGGCTCTGAGCAGTCAGCACAGGGCCTGACATGGGGCTCAAACTCACAGACCATGAGATCAAGACTTGAGCTGAAGTCAGATGCTTAACTGACTGAGCCACCCAGGTGCTCCAAGACTAATGATACTCTTCAGGATAGTGTCACAAAACATGTTTTTTCAGCTTTTTGTCAGAGCAGAGACCTACACAAGGCCAGGGCTTTTGGAGAGGGATGGTGTTCTGAGCTGATGGTTATTTAATAAATTGTGTAATGATTAGCCAACAGTGATTGAGATGAAGAAAGATAAAAAGAGGCAGAGAAATAAATTCAAAAATAATTAAGAAAAATAGTGCCCTGAAAATATCCTCTCATTTTCTACAGCTTCTTTTATTTTTTATTTTTTTGAGGCATGACTAAGTCGTAATCTGATAATATGTTAGATTTTTCTAAATTATTATTTCCAGGGCATATACTATTGAATTTTTATTACATATGATAATGCCAAAGAAAGCCTCAACAAAACATAATTTATACTATAAAAATGATAAACATGTGACATTGCTGTGTGTATTAAGATTCAAGTATCAATTCATGTATGTAAAATTATAGTGATTTTTCCATTTTTCTTGAGCTGTGAACCATGGTAAAATATATTGTAAGAAGCAGGAAACCCAATGCACTGGGTGTTTTACAAATGCCCGATGTTACAGCTTTGGAAATTCAAGGGTGAAATAGATTAACTTAAATTTCATATCTGCTTTCCTTATTGCCAGTGAACTCTCTATAAGCCAGAAAATACAATAAATTAATTGAGAGGAAGCAGTATTTGGGAGAAACTGAGGTTAATTCCTCAAAAATGATTGTTTACTTTCTTTGTTATAAGTTTACTTAGGGACTGGTTCTTTTCTTAGGTAATATGTGTGTATTTCATAAGTGCTTAAAGTAAATGGTCATCAAAATGATAAAAAAACTAGAATTAATTACCAATCTACTATGCATATACACTTTCACTGCATGATCTTATGCAATTCTTAAAATAGTCCTTTAAAGTAAGTATTTTAATTCATTTAACTGATAGAGAAAAAAGATGTTTATAGGAGTTAACTTACTTAGAGTCACAAATTGATAAAGGTTTAAGAGCCAGGATTTGAATATAGGTCTGTTTGATTTTATACCTCATATTTGCTACACTATGATAAAAATTATAATTTTACATGAGCAGTTGCCCTATGGCTATTTAATACCATTTGTGCCCAAATCATGACATTGTTAGATAAGTTTATTTTAAGTTATTCTATTATATTTACAATATATCATTTATAAGAGTCAAATATCAAGATATGTTTCAAAGGCACATATAGAGGCTCCTTAGTTTCC